CATAGTACTACAGACTATACTGGAAATTCAGAAAAGTAAACTTTTTAACCCATCTGTACTAGTATTATTAATAAAAATGGTTCCATAAAAAGAAACTGATATTTTACAAAGGAATTAAACAGTGCTTGGAATAAATGACAAAAGCTCAGAAAAATATTCGCAATTAATACACTACATTTTTTATTAATTTTATGTGTATGAGTGCCTTATTTGTATGAATGTCTGTGCATCACACATCTGTTTGGTGCCTGCAGAGGTCAGAAAGGGCCTTCTGATGCTCTGGAACTGGAATAATGGACAGGTGTGAGCCACCATGTAGATGTGGAGAATTGAACCTGGGTCCTCTGTAAAAACAGGAGGTTCTCTTACAACTGAGCCATTTCTCCAGCCCCATAAACCACATATTTTTAAAGTAAAAATCAGTTTATGGAATCATCCTTCCAAGACTTACTAAATATCTACCTTATAGTGTGTGAGTCAGGAAATAAGAAACTTAGTATTTCTGCTCTTCAACGAATGAGCTACTTCAATAGGTGAGACATCAAAGTGGATTTTAGCACTGGGAAGAGTAAAACCCAACAGTATAATCAGTCAAAGAAATTTTACTTGTATCATTATATATATATATATATATATATATATATATATATATATATATATATATTTAATATGGGATAATTCACATTTTTCTAAGCATCCAATATCTCCATTGCTTTTCATATGAAAGGCAAATAAACTGAACTGGTTTGGGAAGAAAACAACACAGGGCTTTTGTGTAACCCACACTCTCCTCAGTACTTTACAAACCACTGCACTGGTGTTTCTACTCACTACCTCCATTTTGGAAACCCTAGCAATCACGACTATTCACCTTATTTCTGTGTATATACTCTTCGTCAATGAAGAAAGGAAGTGCATTGCTCGGCCTCAATGAAGAGTGTCCGCTAGGCTGAAACTTGGGGTCCTATGTTGCTGTTTGTTTTTACTTTTTTTTCTTTTGGGGAGTCCACCACCCAGCTTCCAAATAAATCACACACAGAGGCTTACTCTTAATTATGAATTCCCGGCCTTAAACTTGGCTTGATTTCTAACCAGCTTTTCTTAACTTTAACTTACCCTGTCTACCTTTTGCCTCTGGGCTTTTCTTGTTCTCTTCTGTAAATCTTACTCTTACTCGGTGGTTTTCTGTGTAGCTGGGTGGCTGGCCTCTGGAGTCCTCCTCTTCCTCCTCCTCTGGCTACTTCTTCTCTTCCTAGACATCTCCTTCTGTTTATCCTCTCTGCCGGTTAGTCCCGCCTTGCCTTTCTCCTGCCTTGCTATTGGCCAGTTCTTTATTAGACCATCAGGTGTTTTAGACAGGCCCAGTAACACAGCTTCACAGAGTTAAACAAATACAAGATAAACAAAAGTAACACACCTGAAAATAATATTCTACAACAGGGTTCCAACTCTAAGCCCAAAGTACTTGTGGCTATAATTAACTGCTGACTTGAGAATGGCTTCAGCTCATTCTTATCCATCTAAATTAATTAATACATGAACATTAAAGACATAGAGGATGCAATAGGGAAAATTATACTGGGGAAAGAAAGCTCACCAAGAATCGGCTTATCACAAGAACACAGCCAAGTTCCTGTCTGAGATTACAGAGCCAGCAAGGAGAGTCTATACACACCTGAGAGGTTGCTCCAAACACACATTTAATTCTATGCCATTTGATGAAGCACATTAAAATAGATTATTTCGTACAGTCAAGTAAATTCAGACTCTTTAACTGAACAACGGGCATAATGTAAAATAATTCTATTAATCTTTTTAGATGTAATAAATATTATATTAAATTATAGTGAGCCCTATATGGATGAAGATGGCCAAATAAGCAATAATAATAATAATAATGGCCATTATCATTAAATTCTTCTCTTTAGTTTCCCCATTCAGCTTCTGATGATATCTTTAACCACATAGGACATAAGGCTTTATGTTCCACTTTGTACTACTTCTCTCGATCAAGAATGCAAGATGCACTATTTCTTAGATTAAATTTGCATCCACAAACTGCAATTAAATTTACTCTATGTTAATGATAACCATTTGCCAGAAAACAAGCTTTTCCAAATAAATGATGATAGAGCAGATAATGTCCGATTATGATCATGAGAGCTAGTACATCATGGGAACTACCCACAGTTAACACAGGATTACACAGAGAGCTGGCACATCATGGGAACTACCCACAGTTAATACAGGATTACACAGAGAGCTGGCA